TCGGCATGGTTTTTTGGCAGAATTTGGATGCGAGAAAGAAAGTGATTCCGTGTAAATCGAAATTACCGTATTTACTCTAATAAAAGCCCCCCCCCCCCTCTAATAAACGCCCTCCCTAGAGGGGTATCGAAAAAATAAACGCCCCCCCTCCAATAAACGCCCCCCCCCCCAAGTACGAAAATTTACAAACTACATAGGAATAGCGACTTTTTTTTGATAATTTTTTGGTTTCTCTTTTAAACTTTCTAAGTAATCATTTTTACGTTTTGTTGATTTGCCGTATACTTTTGAAGTACCGCCCCCAAGTGTCCCCAAAAAGTTTCCCCAAAGTGTCCCCATATGGGAACTCTTTTTGATACTGAAATGCTTCGTTTTCTTTTTTTCTCTAGAGCTTTTTTAAAATTCTGTTACAGACGAAATTGTTTAAACTCTCCCAGATTAGATTTTCTCTTTGGGGACAGTTTGGGGAAACTTTTTGGGGACACTTGGGGGCGGTACTTCAAAAGTATAAATTGTTGAAATAATTTTTTTTTAGTTGGACTTCATGGATGTACTCGCCGATTTTCGAAAGCTTCATAAAGATGAAATGGAAGGATTCTGCAAAGTGGGTCGGGAACATTTCGACAAACGATCCGATTCACGTGAAAGTTTGAACGACTCCGCCGACGACAATCCAATCCACAACGAAACAACGATTGGAAAACGACCGAGAAGAACATTGGACGCGAAGACGAAACTCGAGGTTGCTAAGATGGCGAGAGATGTTTCCATTCACTCGGCGGCGAAATTCTACTGCATCGATCGCAAAGTGGTCAAGCGATGCCTGAAAAAGAAAGAAGAGCTGGAAGAGCTTCATGGGAAAAGGAAACGATTGGATGGAGGAGGCCGCCACCTGAATTCGGCTGATGTCGACGAAGCTTTGGCAATTTGGGTGCGGAAACAACGGGCTGAAAAAAAGAGGGTCACTCGTCGGATACTCTTCAACGAAGCGGCTAAACGTTTTAAGGAAGTCGGTGCTCCCTTTAAAAAATATATTCGACATCAATATGAAGATTGGATCCTATCAACGGCACCCGAATTGACGAAATCGAAAGCTGATGGATCTGGTGGTGGTAGCCCCAAACCTCCTGCAATGGATGTTTATCGGGAATGGATTGCTTCGTCTTGGGAAAACTATCTTCAGAAATGATTGCCGAGTCATTTAAAATCTGCGGAGTAGGAATTGATCAGGATGGAAAAGAAGATCATCTTATTCACTGCTTCCGCTCAGATGGCCCGATACCTTCCGGATTTAAAGCAATTCAGAGTGCCCGATTGGATAAGGAAATCGATAAAATTTTAGTCCCAAGCATCGAATCAGCAAATTTTCGTGAGCCTAGACTAGAGGCTGAATACGATTCTGATACATCAATTGCTTGAAATGCTGTTTTTCTTACATTCTTAGTTTCTGTTAATTTTTGTTGTTGAAATAAATAAATAATTCGATAAAAGTGACTTATGATCTCGAATGCTTTATTTGCACTACTATTTTTTTTATCGTTGAATCAACGTCAATTATGTGTCTAAGTACGCCTGCAGAGGGCTATCGAAAAATAAAAGCCCCCCCTCCAATAAACGCCCCCTCTAATAAACGCCCCCCCTTGAGGGGTATCGAAAAAATAAACGCCCCGGGGCTTTTAATAGAGTAAATACGGTATGTTTCTATCTTCTGCAAAATTATCTTAAATATTGATACTCTCATAGTTTTCTTTACAACATGGACATGGTTAAAGTTTAAGCCGATCAAACTGATGATTAAAGTTTAAAAGGATCAAACCGATGATTGAAGTTTAAACTGATCAAAACGATGGTTAAAGTTTAAGCCGATCAAACCGATGGTTGGAATTTAAACCGATAAAACCGATGATTAAAGTTTAAACCGACCAAAGCGATGGTTGAAATTTAAACCGATGAAACCGATGACTAAAGTTTAAGCCGATCAAACCAATGGTTGAAGTTTAAACCGATCAAACCGATGGTTGAGGTTTAAACTGATCAAACCGATCGTTAAAGTTTAAACCGATCAAAGCGATAAACTCTTGAAGTAGACTTGTATTTTGATTCACTAATTCTTGAACAATCAAACTCGATAACGGAAGCAATTTCAAAATAAAGCTGGTTGTAGTTTTATCCAGTTAACCGTGAGAGATTTTCTTTTTCACTGGACAATTTGAATAGATTCGTGGGAAATCCTCGAGCAAACGGACTTCAAAGAAGAGCGAAAATTTTCCGGACATGATTTTTAGAGTTGGCTTTCATTCTACCAAAATCTTAAACTTACAAAAAAAGTTTTACAGCAAGATTTTACACGTCACAGAACTTATTTCGTTATAAAATTGGTCTTTGATTAAAGAGCTCTGACTCTGATGCTTTTCTAATCTTCTGACAATCACAGTAGTCTTGACTTAAAGTTTGCTGTTTGACATTTGATGGAAAATCGATTCACTCAAATTTTGTCTCTAGATAAATGCTTTGATTACATGCTAAAGCTTGCAATTAAGCCTTGTTTTACACGTGTTGAACGTTGCAATTTATAAATTGAACAAAGTCAAAAATTACGAACACTTGGACAACAAATGTCGTTGAGAAAAGGATTAGGAATTTGCATTTCTATTGTTAGATTCATTGTTTTATTTCATTCAATGCCAACAATTGTTTAAATTCGAGTTTAGATTAAAGATCAAATTCAATAAGACAAAAGTTCACAATAAGTGATTTTCATTTTAATTAAGACTAAGATAAAACTGATCTTTTGGATAGTTCAGATCATTGTTTAGATCATCTTAAACTGTTCATTTCATTGTTTAGATCATTGTTCTTTAAAGGAAATGTCTTCTCGACTCTGGGCTATCCATTTCGCTGAATGGTTGACGGCAGTGACATTAAATGCCATTGTATTGCTAACAATCTTTCGCTATTCTCCAAAGAATATGGGGAAATATCCATGGCTCTTGGCTGTTTATTCACTGTTTAATGTTGCCTACACGACTCTAGATGTAGTGGTGGCACCGGTGAGTAATCAAGGAATCTAAAAGCGGCTCATTTGTAAGCATAGCTGAGAGAGCTCAGAGCTATGCTTGAGCTGTAAGCAAAAGCCAGGTTCAAGCCTGGCTTTTGCTTTTTGAATTAGGTCAATGAAACTGGGTCAAATAAGACCAGAAGCAAGGTCAGAACCTAGCTTACAAGAGAAAGGCGTTGAGTTAAGCTGATTTTTTTGGCTCAAGACCAAGTCCATCTTATAGAGCCAACTATGGGGATCTCGAATCCGTTTTTAGTGTTGGTAAAACGCTTCACAAACACGAGATATCTAAATTTTGAACTTCTTAAAAAGCCGTCACTCTATAAGATGCTATAAGGCTCGTTTATAAGCTGCTTTGATGATTTAGTGGGTAGTCTGCTAGACTACGGAATCTGTTAAATTTTTGTCTCCAAGTTCGAGTCCAACCCTCACCAAAATCGACTAAAAGCCTTGTATATACTAATGCTTTAACATTATCTTCTTTTAGACACCGTACATCTTTGGTCGAACGTACATGCTGTCCTCTTATACGTGGATTTTACGAGATGAGAGAGTAATCAATTGGTTGATGATTCTCTATTGCAGCGGTTTCTCGCAATTGCTTTGCTTCCTCAACTTTCAGTTTTTCTATCGCTATGTGGTCGTTTGTAGGTAAGTCACATGTCCATAAAAACTTTGTACTTTTCTTTTCAGATCACATTGGATCCCGAAAATGAAGCCGATTCCCACGACACTTTGTGCGATTTTTCTTTACATTTTTGTCTGGTTAGCTTTTCTGAATAAATCTGGTTTTGATTAGAATGAAAACCAAGAGAAAAGACTTTCTGAAGATAAAAAGTTTGGGGTAGGCTAGTTTCCGCAATTTTTTTAACGCAACAGGGTTATTTGCGAAACTGGGTCATTTGCGCACAACGCCATAACTTTTTTCTAAGTGAGCCAATCTTTATGATTTTGGTTTCATTTTGTTGCACTTATTGAGATCTACAAAATGAAACCAAAATCATAAAGATTGGCTGACTTAGAAGGAAGTTATGGCGAGTTGCGCAAAAAAAGTTGCGGAAACTAGCCTACCCAAAAGGTTTTAGTGGTACTTGGACTCTTAACTCGTATGTGGCTTTGAATCGAGATGAAGAGGTCTTTGCCAAAATCAATGATCGATACAAGTAAGAAAATTCTGAATAGATTTTAAAAATGAAAACCTACCGTAAATACTGTAATAGTACCCCCATAATGACGGTGCGGAGTGTTGCGTAGTCTAGCTTTGAACGAGTTTTTCTTGACACTGGTTTATGCTACAATGCGCGTTTAGGTATCAAAAAATAGCCCTGAATTTCAGCTATTTTTTGATATCAAAGACAAATTTTTTGAAAGTACGGGCGCTATTGAAAAAAAATGAAATACCAAAAAACTTTTGCGACTACGCGACTGTACGAGAGCGGTGGGGTACTATTACAGTATTTACGGTAAGTAAAAAGTGCCAAATTCTACTTTAATTCTAAGCCATTCAGTCAAGCCAAACTTGAGCCAAACCAGAACTAGGTCAGCCTGATCTAGACCAGACAAAGGCCTCCAGACTTGGGCTAGGTCGGACCAGAGTCTGATGAGGCCAGACCTGGGTTAGACCAGAACCAGACCAGAACATACCAAGGCTTGATCAGCTCGAGAAAATCTAGAGCTAGGTTAAGCCAGACAGAACCATTGGACCAGGCAGGATAGGCTAGACACGAGTCAATTACAGTTATTTACTCGAATAGAAGACCAGTCTTCTATTTTTCCAATCTCTCCCTAGATTCCGTCTTCTACTCGAGACGGTCTTATAAAATCGAGTAAATACGGTAATATTTTCAGAAACCTTACTGGCAGAGATGTCATTGGAACCGGTTCAATTACCCAAGCGTTTGAGGGAGTTTCTCTTTACGTGATTCTTCGATCATACATAGGAATGCTTGTTTATTGCTTGATTATGTCCGTCACTTCAAGTTTCATTGTTTATTGTGGTTGGGCATTGAAAAAGGTTTTTTTCTATTACTTTCCAACAATCGCTTATTTTATTTAGAGTTTACAAGAGGAAGGTAAAAGCACAAAGACAAGAAATATGCAGAAAGAGCTTTTTAAAGCATTGATCTTTCAGGTGAATCACTTCAAGCGTTTCGATATGAACTGTTTGTTTGTTAAAATTAAAATTACTATAAGATCCACCGATAGAATTTCAGTTACTTGTCCCACTCGCAACTGTTTATTTTCCCGTTTCTATCTTCTTTCTCGCAGCGTTGCTTGGTGTAGATGGCTGGGATACTGAGATTATCACTATCATGGTGATGTTCGATCCAATCATTGAGCCGATTGTCATTATTTACTTCATTAAATGTTACAGGCTTGATAAAGAAATTGAGAAAAGGACTAAATCTTTCCAGGAGGCCAATTGCGCGTCTTCTTTGTTGCGGTCCACGTAAAGTGTGCGGTTTTTGGACGCAAGTTCGTTCTTTGTGATAAACTTAGCCTGTAGAATCTCTTTATAAATCTAAATAGACAATACGACTTAGTTTTTAAATCCAACTTTCTATGCACTGCATAGAAAGCACAGGTCAAACTTTAGCACTTGCAATTGAGGTGAGAATTGATGAGAATTCAGATTTAAATCAAGGAAGACCGTAAATATTATGAAACTAATCTTATCAACTACTTTAGGTTAAATAAAAAGTTTGCTAGTATCTAAATTTATGAGTAAATCTAGAATTTTGATAATTGAATACTTACAGGAAACAAATCGCTACTCTACTGGAGAGACGGCGACAAAAACGAGTCGAAATCAGATCGCACCTGATGTATCACAAAGCAAAGAAGCTTACTCGAATGCTTCTCTTCGGGGAAATTCTTAATCCTTGCCGGCTTCTCTAATAAAATTTTCTAGATTTCAATTTTACAATATCCGCACATCATCAAGAACACCTTTTTTTCTAAATTTTGTTATCAACAAATCGAGTAGGCTCTTTTTTAGCACAAATCTAATCTTTATTATCATACCATACCGAGCAAAAGTCTTGCAACATCACTTTTTCAAAAAAATCGATGAAAATACCACCCGTTCGTAGGGCTTTTTTGTTTTTAATTATTAGGTTGATGCAAAAGTCTTTTTCATTTTTTTCGTCTGCCGTTTCAAGCCAACAAATGCACCAATTAAACTACGGTTGATTTCATTAGAAAAACCAATTATTTTTCTGCAAAATAACATTAAAACGGGTTTAAAAATATTTTATGCCTGGATTTTCTTGAGAGTATGAAGTCGGGTAGTCAAAAAGGGCTAACTCGATGATGCGGTTTAGACACCTTAGCTAAAGAAAACCTATCTTCGTGTCAATAGAGAAAAGATAGAGAAAAAAAGTTTGATATTTCGCCAAAATTTCAGAGAAATTCATTCAGCCAATTTTTCCGTAGAGTTTTTTATAGATTTTTACGAAAAAGGCGTTTTTCACTCTCGAATTTGCTTGAAAGTGAACCGAAATTGATTTTAAAAGATGCAAATTGAACAAAAAAACACTTTTTTTATAGAGCAAACTATAGATTAATTGGTGAATTTGTTACTTTTTAACAGAAGTACGAAAAAAATGAAAAAGACTTTTGCATCAACCTAATAAAATAATACATGTACACTTTATTTATTGGATTGTCCAGTTAACTATAGACAATTGTAAACTATTGGGTTGATGCATAATTATCCGGACTTCTTTTTTGCGTGCTTGTATCTTTTTTGTTTTGAAAGCTTTTTGTCTATTTCTTTTTTTAAAATATTCGTTATTCTTTAGTGAACAAAATGCGTGTCGACAATCATATCCATCTTCGCCATATCATGCTCTACCACTTCGAAAAGGGATGGTCTGCCGCAGAGTCGTTTCGCGATCTCAAAGAACTTTTTGGTCAAGGAACAATTGGACGTGCAACAGTTTATGAATGGTTCGATCGTTTCAAGTCCGGTAACGCGATCGAACCATTCATAAACTGTTGCACGTCCAATTGTTCCTTGACCAAAAAGTTCTTTGAGATCGCGAAACGACTCTGCGGCAGACCATCCCTTTTCGAAGTGGTAGAGCATGATATGGCGAAGATGGATATGATTGTCGACACGCATTTTGTTCACTAAAGAATAACGAATATTTAAAAAAAAGAAATAGACAAAAAGCTTTCAAAACAAAAAAGATACAAGCACGCAAAAAGAAGTCCGGATAATTATGCATCAACCCAATATTATGCATTCAGTTCAACAACGATGCCCAGATTGTATTGTAAACATTGCTGGGTATTATGGGTGAGTTTGATACGATTGTTACGTTAAACTATTGGGTTGTCCAGTTATGAATGCGCATTTTTACTATTTTGTAAATTTCTCAAGATATCAAACAGATGTTTATGAGTGTTATAAATCATTCGAAAGCTGAAGATCTCCTCTACATTTTGGAATAAAAAAGTTTTTGAATTCATTCAACTTTTTGGGAAATTAACTGCACAAAAGGAGAGGTCGTTTTCGAAAAAACCCATTCCAGCTTAGCTATTCCTCAAATTTTATGGTGTAAAATAACCGCCCAGAAAAGAAAAGTAAAGATGCTCTGAAATTGTTGTATTTTAAAAAAACTTGTATTGATATATCTATTGGCCAAACATCAAATGGTTAACTCAATTTGAGCGGAGCCAAAACTTGATCCAAAGGCACCCTTCCATTTTTTGGCCACCTCTTCTTCTGTGCAGTCAGTTTGCCCAAAAGCTTTTAATATCAAAATGTAGAGGAGATCTTCAGCTTTCGAATAATACTCATATATATCTTTTTCTTGATTTCGGTATCTTGAGAAATTTACAGAATAGTAAAAAACGCCCATTCATAACTGGACAACCCAATACACAAACTAAGACAACCCAAAAGTTCAACGTAAAACAAAAAAGCAAATGACAAAACTACTAAAAGATACCCCAAAAAACTGGGTGCAAAAGTCTTGCAACATTATCCAGAAACATCAAAAATTAATATTCAATCGGTTCACCTTTTGCCAAAATCACTTCATTAAGTCGTTTAGGCATTGGGTCGATTAATTCGTGAAGAATTGCTAGTCGAATTGAGCTCCAAACTTTTCGTATGTAGAACCATAAGTCAACTTTTGTGTGAAAGACTTTTCCTCGTAACTTTGTCTTCACGTAAGCCCATAAATTCTCAATAATGTTTAAATCAGGCGACATAGGGGGCACATTGACCAACAAAACGACGGGGCAAACCATCCAGATTATGAAGGGCAAACCATCCAGGGAGATGAGCTTTTCCTCCATTTGAGAGATTCACCGTGTGACCCATCATGAGCTTGCTCTTGTGAACCGGCGAATTGTTCTGGTAGAGAAACCATCCAGGAACCATGTAATCCTGAGCAAATCGAAGTAGACATCCTTCCAGTATTTCCATCTACTGGCGAGCATTCATGGTTGACTGGATGAGGACGAGCGTAAGTGTGAGTCATCATCTCGCTCTTAATATGTCCCTGCGATTTGTACACACCGCCCGTCGCTACCCGGGACTGAACCGTTTCGAGAAATCCAGGGAATCGTTCGCGGGACTTGTTCCTTGCGAGTGGTGAACTGGCTTGATCGCGACGGTTTGAACCGGGTAAAAGTCGTACAAGGTACCGGTAGGTGAACCTGCCGGTGGATCAATACTGTAAACGCCTCGCGTCACAGTGTGCTACGACACAGCTACAAGCAGCTAGAAACGCCCGACCGCTACCGTCGCGGCAACGGAAACTGGACGAGGACGAGCGGACCTGCCACATTTTTTGCCATCGCCCCTAGAAAAAGACAAATTAATGCATGTATTAGAAAGAAGGCTTACCAAAACACATGATTGATCCTCCGCCAGCTCGCATTGTAGGTCGCACATATTTAAGGAGTATTTGCTTTCCAATGGATCGTCTGATCAAATGGTTGCCTTTTGGAGAAAGATATCCACTTTTGTTTCATCGACAAAAATCACGTTGTCCCAATTCTACTTTGTCCAACTTTGCCACGTCCTGGCGAATAGAAGCCGTTATTTCCTGTGGCCAAGGATTATTTTTATGTGGTTTTGCACATGCCCTGGCTTCAAGAACATAAGAACACTGAGTAATTCAATGGATTAAGATCGGGTGAGCTGGGTACAAATCACAGGTACAAACCGACCTACAAGGTAGCTTTAAAGAAACAGATTGACAAAATTACTGCTTTAAAGAAAGATTTCAGTAACTCACCTCCATTTAAGCAGGCAATGAATGAGAATGGAAGACTTCGATGAAATAAAGCAATTGCAAAAACAAAAGATCTAGAGACTTTTAAGAAAACTCTTCTAAATTCGAATAGCCGATTCTTAGCTCAAAATTAATTTGCTATTCCCTGGGAAGGTTATTCAAAAGAGACAGAGTACAAAAGTAATTTGCAGAAAAGCATTTTTAGTATCCACCAGTCATTTTCTTTTCTTTTTGAGCGTGATCGAGCAATCTGGTGGTGCAGCTCTTGTGATATTTATCGTCGTTCTCCTCCTCTACTCAAGTTCGACAATTGAAAGATTTTTAAAAGCTCAAAAGTGTCAAATGTGTGCTTAAATCTTCTTTCAGACATTGGATTAGTAATTTCGAATCATTCGGATCAATCCAGATTGATTTCAATGGTCAAACGATGGCTTAAACTCACTGGGTACTTAAATTACATAGGGTTTCTCGGAGATTTTCTCTGATAGCTCTCATAGCTGTTGATCGATTTGATTAATTTTGGTTTACGATTGTGAATTTGTGGGTTTTGTGGGTTTTGTCTGTAATGTAATTACTAAATTTTATCTTTTTCCTTTGTTGCATTCAGAGCAGTGCTTGCTTGCGTGCTTGAAAGATTCCTGCATAAGCTTTCGTCTTCCAAGAAGAGAAAAGGGGAATTCTGGAAGAGAAATTCGAAAGAGAGAAGGGAAAAGGCAAAGAAAACCGCATTGCTTATCGTGAGGCGCGTCGCGGTTTTCCCCTATAGGGCCAGGGCATTGAGGAAAAGGGCCTCAGTGGATCCTTTTCTCGATATCCTTTTCTGGGCAGAGAACGGACAAATCCACGTCACTCTTTCCTCTCTCACACCTTCATTTTCGTACACACAAAGTCATCAGTTTGTTCAGTTCAGGTTTCCCGATTCAGTTTAGCTTTGTACTGCTTTTATATTATGGAAAAATTGTATTTGTTCACTTAAAACTCTCAAGAACTTTAGGAAACGCCGATTTTTATGAGAATTCTTCTGAAATGAGCTTATTCGCGAGAAATTCCCAAATAGAAACGCGTTTTGATAAGCGAAGGAAACAGTCTTTTTGGTTTTTTCTTTTTTCTATGATTCTATGATTGTCTCTGTTTGCTTTTCAGGCTCTCTTTTCACGTATTTCATGGCAAAATACAAAAAAGGTTTGTGAAATAATGAAATAAGAACTAAGAAAGAGATTTAGGGAAGGATATAGGGAAGGATATACAGTGCTGGACAATGAAATATCATATTTGAAAAACGATCGTCACTTTCGCGCGTCTGTAACTCCTTTGTCTTTGAGTTTAAACTATTAGTGTTATACATTTTCTGAAAGCTCTTTTCAAGGGCTACACAATGGTAATATTAATATTTAGAAATACGGTAAAGACAAGGGAGTTACAGACGCGCGAAAGTGACGATCTTTTTTCAAATATGATATTTCATTGTCCAGTAGTGTAGAAAATGATATAGGAAATGATATAGGAAATGATGCAGGGAAGGATATAGAAAAAGATATAAGAAAGGATATAGGAAACGATATAGGAAAGGATATAGGGAAGAACATAGGAAATGATATAGGGAAGGATATAAGAAACGATATAGGAAACGATATAGGAAACGATATAGGAAAGGATATAGGAAAAGATATAGGAAAAGATATAGAAAAGGATATAAGAAAGGATATAAGAAAGGATATAGGAAAGGATATAGAAAATGATATAGGAAAGGAGATAGGAAATGATATAGGAAAGGATATAGGCAAGGATATAGGAAAGAATATAGGAAAGAATATAGGAAAGGATATAGGAAAGGATATAAGAAACGATATAGGAAACGATATAGGAAAGGATATAGGGAAGGATATAGGAAATGATATAGAAAACGATATAAGAAAGGATATAGGAAACTATATAGGAAACGATTTAGGAAAGGAGATAGGAAAGGAGATAGGAAAGGAGATAGGCAAAGATATAGGCAAGGATATAGGAAAGGATTTTAGAAAGAGGTTAAGAAAGAGATTTAGGAAAGGATGCAAAAAACGCTGAGACTGTAGTGGATGATGAAGAGGAAGAAGATGGACCGCCGATTGCGAGAAAGATCTGTGATACAACGAAAGAGGTGAGATTGCATTCAGAATTTGAAAATATTTAAGTTTAAACATTTGAATATTAAAATATTACAAGTTATCACTTTTAAAAAGACAAAAAGACGATCGTTTTCTTTAGAATGAGGAGAGTCTTATTGTTAAGAATTTGGTTCTTTCTTAGAATTCTTTGTTTTGTTATGATTTATGTTGTTTTTGTTATGTTTTTGTTATAGAAAGTTATTTTACATAGATATTTATAAGCTTTATTAGCCTTATTAGCTTTATTAGCTTTATTAGCTTTATAAGCTTTATAAGCTTTATTAGCTTTATTAGCTTTATTAGCTTTATAAGCTTTATAAGCTTTATTAGCTTTATAAGCTTTATTAGCTTTATAAGCTTTATTAGTTTTATTAGCTTTATTAGTTTTATTAGCTTTATTAGTTTTATTAGCTTTATAAGCTTTATATAGAATCTCTGAACTTTTCTCTATTTCTAGATCGATCAACCGATTCACTATTCGCATTTCTCTCTCTCCGGGAAACCATTCTCAGCGATGAACAAAGAATTCATTCCCACATACATCGAGGATCCAAAAGAATAGTAAGAGATTGAGATTAGAGATTAGAAAATGTATTAGTAAATGTGATAAATGCACAGATTTTCTAGAATCTCTAGAATTTTAATTGAAATTTCAGTTTTGACGAGTTCGGTTTTCGATCGATCGATGAAAGTCCATTTCGGGACAATTCACCCATTGAAGATTCATCGGAAAAGTAGACTTTAACCTAAATTTTGTTAAAAGCTTTAAAACAGCTTTGTTAAAAGCTTTAAAATAAACAAAGAACGTCTCAAGTCGCATTAATTTTATTGAAAAATTCCAGAATGAAATGGATAGCTCACCTCGAATTCGCTCATAATGAAAGTCAAGAGTTGAAATGGTCAAAAATCAATGTGGAGAAGATAAAAGGAGAGAAGATGGAGGCTATGATAAAGGTGCTTTGAGATTTAAGACTAGAAAACTGAAGTGACGAAAGTTTTTAGCATTCTGGAATCCCGCACTCGATGCGACCATTTCTCTGGCCAAGGCTGATCGGAGCTTATGAAAAGGAGAAAGCTGCTGGGTGAGTGATTGGAAAGTTTGCGAAAGTTTAACTATCAAATAAAGCTTATTAAAGAAAGGCACGAACTAAAGGGGAGCTTTTCTCTGGACACTCAGTGCACTTTATAGAATTTCTAACTTCTAAATTGGACTTCTAAATTGGGGCAACTTCTAAGAATTGAAGAACTGAAGAGCACTTTATCAAATTGGAGAATTGGAGAAGTTTTATAGCTAATTGCATGATGGTTTTTCTTTTAATCTCTTCGATTGTCTATTATTTACACAATTTGCACATATTCCTTGCAAATTTATACTAAAATTCAACATTTAAATCCAAACTAAACACTTTTTTCAAAAAAACAAACCAAAACAAATTAGCAAGAATGAAAATTGATAAAGAAACACTTAAATTGAATTGAGTTGTAGGATATTGTATGAGCTTGAACTTGAATAACAAATTCCTACTTTGCAAACCGCCATAATGCAATTAGCTGCAAAATTGCAAAATGCTTGCTGCTTGCTGCAAGAAGTTGCTCTAAAAAACACGAACCAAAAGGTTCATCAGGGACCGAACCTTGATCTTATGGGTTGAAGGCTAAGGTGTTATCCACTAGGCCGCCAACCAACAGTTTTTGGGCGAGGAAGGAACCCTTTAATAAGGATTCATCCTAAGAAGGATTTTGACGAAAGGAAGGAACCTTTTGAAGCCAAATTTTCGATTGAAGCTTTTGATTTCGATTTCGATTTCGATTGAATATTCGATTAAAGTTGAAGATGCAAGAAAGTCGCCTTTCTTGCATTTGGCATTTGGCAGAAACTGGGTTTTAAAGATAGTAAGTTTACAATTTTAAACAAGTGCCTAAATTAATTTAGCTTCTTAGCTTCATTTTATACTATGCCCCAATTTCTTACAAAAAAAAAGCTAAAGATTGAGCGCTAGCCAGACCCGAATCATGATCGTGTGCATATAAATTCACTGCTTTGCCTCGACACCACTGATGGATTGTTTTCCTTCGCCAGAGAGCGCGCTAAATTCCAATATAATAAAAGCTTTAGTGCCAAATATCTGGCGATTGAGACGTCCACAGGAAAAACTAAAAACGGATTCGGATTCCCCGTGCCAAACTCTACCAGGGTACCATTCTATAGGCTTAAGTTCTATAGGCTTAAGTTCTATAGGCTTAAGTTCTATAGGCTTCAACTCCACCTTAAGTTGGTGCCTCTCCCTAGTTAGGCTTGCCATTTCAAAATCTACCAATGGATCCACAAATCAAACTAGTAACACATTTTCAGTTACTCCTACTTGGATGTCCTTCGACAATCCGCCAAAGACAATCCAACAGTCGGTGTACAAATCGAGCGAGATCTCTTGAGAACACTGCCCAATAATATCTGTTTCTGGAAAAAGAACAGTCCTGGAATTGATGCTTTGAGAAGGTTAGTGTATTCGCAAAGATCTAATTGCATTTTTTTTTCAGATTGCTCAAATCGATTGCTTACATTTACCCAGATTTGGGTTATTGCCAAGGAATGGGCGTCGTTGTGGCCAATCTTTTGCTTTATTGCTCCGAGGAAACGACTTTTTGGATGATGGCCGCGTTGATTGAGGAGATTTTACCCCCGAATTACTACAGCCAATCTTTACTGGGATTACAGGTAAAGTTTAATATGGAAAGGGTTTAAAAAATAGCTTATATTGATTAGTTGAAGCTTGTTTAGCATACAAGGTTGGGCAGAGTTACGGAGACACGGTTTTCGCTTGTAACTCTGTGTAAACTCAATCGATCTACTTCTCTCTTCTTTTTTCTGCAACATTTTCTTTCACCATTTGGTCAAACATCAAAAAAGCGCCTTGCTAGAGAGAGTTAAACTTCAGAATTGAATTCTGAAGATAAATCTGCCATGTCTGCCAAGAAAAGGCTAAATTTTATGAAATATTTTGACTTTTTAGTGTTTATTAAACTCTTATAAAGAATCTATTCAAAAGTTAAATGATCGATTCACTCAAAATAATGCTGAGAAGAGCCGCTAGTCAATGTTCTTTTGAAAACATACGAGATTGATGCTGCTAATTACAAGAACATTTGCTAAATCTATTAGAAAATCATTTGTGAACTTAAAATTGATTAAATCTTCTGAAAGCTAGCTTTAAGCTTTAAGAGTTTTCTAGTTATTTTCAATGTTACAAGTACTCAAAAGTTTTGTTTGCCTTGTCTGCCTCAAAAGTCTTTTCTCGAATTTTAAATCTTTCTAGCATCTTGATGTTTGAATAAATGATGAAAAATGTTTTAATTTTTATAAAAAAAAGAATAGAGAAAGTAGATTGATTGAGTTCGAGCAGAGTTACACCGGAAAAACTCGCCCTAATTCTGCCTAAATGTATTTCTTGTACTTGCAGAACTTGTATTTCTTTTCGTCTTGATCATTAGACTTGATAAAAACAAGCAAAACAAGCAAATCATTATGAATTTGCAATTTTTCAGGCAGACGAACGAGTGACTCGACATTTGATGAAAACTCATGTTCCCGATTTACACAAGGCATTAGAGGTGAATCGAATTGACAGCTGTCAATGAGAGAGCGAGGGTGAAATCCCTTTTTCTCTCAAGCCCCTCTCACCTTCCGTTGTGGTCTAGTGGTTAGGATTTATGGCTCTCACCCATAAGGCCCGGGTTCGATTCCCGGCAACGGAATGAATTTTTGCTTTTTAAGAAACGAATCGAATTCGATAGGCTGCTGTCAATGGTAGAGCCAGGGTGAAATCCCTTTTTCTCTCAACCCCTCTCACCTTCCGTTGTGGTCTAGTGGTTAGGATTTATGGCTCTCACCCATAAGGCCCGGGTTCGATTCCCGGCAACGGAATAAATTTTTGCTTCTTGAGAATTAAGTTTGAGAATTGTTTTTATCTTAAATTATCAGACTTTTAAGGTAAAACCTAATGTATTGCTTTTAATTTTAACTGTTTTTAGGACTACGATGTTGAAATTTCGCTGGTAACTGTTAACTGGCTGCTGACTCTTTTCGCATCGGTGCTTAAAACGCGAATTTTGCTACGCGTTTGGGATCTCATTTTCTACACGGGTGGCGTCACAATTTTTCGGGTAAATGAAATGGCAGAGAATTTTAGCGTTCAACTTTTAGACAATCATTTCTGCACTAAAAATGAGAGAGGATGAGATTGTCGAGTTGGCGAATTCCACAAAGTCTTCAGCTGATATTTTCAATGCGATAAGTCAACTGCCATCAAAGGTGGAAATCAAAAAAGAAATGATAAATGTTGCTTTCCTTTAGATTGACAATTTGGATAGCCTTTTGGAATATATGAGCTCGTTTGAATATACGATAACCGAGCATTTGGTGGCTGAGTTGAGAAAGAAACATCAGGTAAATTTTGATCATTTTTTTTAATCAAAACCAAGATTGCTTAATAGAAAAGTATCTGGATTTGGCTTTAGCTCAAGTTTTGAGATCTCTGGAGCTAACTTAAGAGCTTTGGATGCATGTTTGAATTAAAGTGTTTGACTAAACCGGTTTTAAACCGGACTGCCGTTTTGCTCGGAGAGTGAGACGAGTTTCCTGGATTGCCGCTTGTGCTGCTCCTCGAGAGCTCCAGTGGCAATGTAAAAAGAATTATAAAAGTGTAGAACTACGTAAACTCATGATACTCAGCTAAATATCTAGTTATCTATTTAAATGGACTACCGTAGGGTTTTCTTTTACTTGAATGACCAACACGATCCGCACATTCCTTGGTTTTTCACAACTGACAACAACTCAACATCTTTACCTTAGTCAACGATCGAAATAACTTGTAGTTTCATTCTAGAAGTCACAAGATTTATGTAATCAACGATTAAAGAGTTAAGCAGAGAAATACTAACGGCAAAGAGCTAGACTCGAAGTTAAAAGTGAGTCTGGAGTTAGAGTTGGGTCTAAAAAAACGCTTCTTCTCTCTTTTTCAGCCTTTTGATTGTTAGAAAGATAGAAAAAACAAAGATCTAGTTAAATAAAGATCAAATTCGATAATGATAAAATCTAAAATATCTCATGACAAAGACAAAGACTGGCTTGTGACTTGTTTACAGATTCTTGGGAAATTCCTGAATAGAGTACTGTATTAGCTGGCATTTTCTAAACGATTACCTACATATTTCAGAAAATTGTTGTAATCTAACAGCTAATTTGCATTCTATTGGCCCAAATTGTTAAATTAACTGACTATGAGCCTTGTGATGGATCAAAATTGAACTGATCGAATGAAACTGGCAGCTAGTTGTGTAATTCTCTAGAAGGTGCCTTTTAGAGTCCCCTAGAAACTTGGCTAAATAGTTTTCTAGCATAGATGCCATTAGGAAGAGCACTCTAGACATTTCCCTAATAATAGTGCAACGATTTTCCCATTTTTGCCTAAATTCCTCGAATCTCGAAAAGCGCTTATCAGAATCTATCGATGTGGGGTCGGAAAATGTAGCTGAGAATGAGATCTAGTGAGGGATTAGAGTGTTGAGCTCAGGCTCTTCTGCAAAAGCTTGAAAACCGTAAAACCGTCACTAACTCGGCTCGCCGGGGTGCACTACTATTACGATTCTCCAGTTCTCTAGTTCTAAAAGTTTTACAGGCAATAATCATGGCCGACTCTGGAATGATCGTCAACACGAACACTGACACGAATCTCCCGAAGCAAAAGATGCAAAGAAGAAAATTGACTCGATCAAAGAGCATTATCTCGCAGATTTTCAACTCGAAAGAGGTAAAAAGACGAAATCTTTCTCGCAATAATTTTGGTTTAGAAAGGAGAGGATCCAAAAACGAAAAACATTCGTCAAACGGAGATCCTCATTGATTTGAAGGAGTCTATTCTGCAGATTTGTCGTTACTTTATGCAATGTGACGAGAATATGGAGCTAAATATCACGACACAGGTAAATAATCAGTACAATTGTCTTTTTTATCTGTTTATAGGCTGATTACACGCCTGAGTCTCATACGCACGATTTGGAACGATTTCATGCGGATGTGCGGAAAGGGAGAAAAAGAGCTCGTGCTTTGCTTGACTTTGCACGACAAGACGAGGATGAATTGGGCTTTCGGTAACAAAAATTAGCAATACAATAGCTGTGGCGAATTGCCACTGCTCTGCAGTTAGTCAAAATTCAATACACAAGTTAGAATTCAAAGTTGATGGATAAACTACCGTAATCAGCCATTAGACGATATTCAGTTGTCCGTTTGTCGTAGCTTGTGTGCTTAAAAACTCATTATTTAAGCTTTGTTTTGAGTCAGTTGCGGGCTCCCTTTTCTATTCATCCATTTTTTCACACGCAAGTGCTGAAGTAATTGTGATAGTGCCAGGTTGCTCCAGGTTGCTCCAGCGAAGTTTGCCCTAATAAGGGAAAGTTTTGATAAAGATTTGGTTCCTTTTCTCTACAGATTCCGTTTCGGTATAGATTTGTTCCTTTTCGGTATAGATTTGGTTCCTTTTCTCTACACGTTTGGTTCCTTTTCTCTAAGATTTGGTTCCTTTTCGGTATAGATTTGTTCCTTTTCTCTACACGTTTGGTTCCTTTTCTCTATTGTGCGTTTTTAAGAAATCTACCATTGAACCACACAGAGACACGATCTCACAAGAAATTATAAAGATCAAAATATAAACATATATTTCTTACAACTGGTTTAAGAACTGAAAATGACGTATTGGGGTAAACTCTTGAATTTTTCAGCTCTAGATATAATGATTTTTCACTTTCTGCCAAAGAAGCTGCTTCTCTAAAAGTTGCTCGATCATTTGAAGAAGCTGAAGCTCATAAAGTTAGCTCGGTATAGATTTGTTCCTTTTCTCTACACGTTTGGTTCCTTTTCTCTATTGTGCGTTTTCAAGACATCTATCATTGAACCACACACGGTCTCACAAGAAATTATAAAGATCAAAGTATAAATATATTTCTTATAATAGCTATGAACTTGTAGGGAATAAATTTTTCTAGAAAAAACGACATCATCACGATAATTTGCGAGAAAAATGAGGATTGCTGGGTGGGCGAAGTGAACGGACTTCGTGGATGGTTTCCAGCGAAATTTGTTGAGGTTTGATGGAATTTTGATTTGATTTTGATCAATGGATTGATCTAGATTGTTGACGAAGGCAATAAGAATTATACAGTTTACGGGGATGAAGTGATTTCTCCGGAAATCACCGAATATATTCGAGGAAGACTGGCGAACGCTTTTCGGCAGGTGATTTCAGAAAGGGTGGTCAAAAACCAATCAAAATCAAAACAAAGTCAAAAACCTAATAGAATCTGGTAGTAGAAAGCTTACTGTAACTATCCGTAAAAGATTTGCAAAAAGTTAAGCTAATTTTCAAAGAAGATAAGCGCTTTTTAAGCAACGATGCGAAAATTAACAGAAAAAAACCAATTAACACCAGAGAAAATTAGCACCAGAGAAATTTCAACATCGTAGGCCTAAACTCAATCAAATTAAAGGTTTTAGATTAAAAATTTGGCCCTAAAAGTTTGATAATTTAATCCAAAACAATTCCCAAATTAATTCTCAAAGAAGCAAAACTTCATTCCGTTGCCGGGAATCGAACCCGGGCCTTATGGGTGAGAGCCATAAATCCTAACCACTAGACCACAACGGAAGGTGAGAGGGGGTGAGAGAAAAGGGCATTTTACCCTCGCTCTACCATTGACAGCTGCCAATCAAACTCGATTCAAATTTCTTAAATAAGACCATCACCATGGGAAACGCTTCCCGGGAAAATTGCGTATGGAAACCTTTCCCGCTCACCATTACCTAGCGGAAAATGAGTGGACGCAGCAAATGAGCGGGAAATGTGTCCCTCATACTATCACATTTCCTGCAGCAAATCAGCGGGAAATGTTTCCCTCATACTATCACCTTTCCCGCAGCAAATGAGCGGGAAATGTTTCCCTCGTACTATCACCTTTCCCGCGGGGAATCAAGTTTCCCTTTCACTTTCTGAAATTTTTATAAAGCAAAAAAAATCGGCGGGGAATCAGTGGGAAACTTGATTCCCACTGATTCCCCGCCGCTGTGGCATAACTGGAACTTGCTTTTGCTGTGGCATAACTGGAACTTGCTTTTGCTGTGGCATAACTGGAAATTTAGAGTTTCAAGCTAGAATTCGAGAAAAAACCTCGAACTCGAATCTTAAGCCCAAAAAGCCCAATTTTCGTCGTTTTCCTTGAACAAACCCTTCAAATTAACTTTTTCTTTCGAATTCTTCATTAGTTTTTGCATCTTTTTTTGACAATTCATTAGATTCCTACTAGGGATTATCGAGTTGAATCCCTAGTAGGAATTTTTCGTTTTCGTTTTTTCAATTGTTTTTCTTAATTTAATGCTGCCATTATGTGGTACGTTTCCGCAAAATTCTTTCAGCAAAAGGCCCTTTCCCCCGTAGGTTTTCAGCACCATTTAGGAAATGAAAATTTAGGTTCAGTAAAATGCCAAGTTGTTAGCATTTGAAAGAAATTTGAAACGTTTACCGCAGGCATTTCCCTCTGAGGTGATGGAAAAATTGAGGGAAACTTTAGGTAAAAATCGGTACCATCACCTAGCGGCACGGTAATGGTTCGGACTCTAATCCTATAAAGAGTGTTTTTTTCACTCTTTGAAGTGTTTTCTAAAATTGAAGTGTTTTTTACAACTCAATAATTTTCTGACTAAAAGTAAAAAGTTATTCCGTTGCCGGGAATCGAACCCGGGCCTTATGGGTGAGAGCCATAAATCCTAACCACTAGACCACAACGGAAGGTGAGAGGGGGTGAGAGAAAAGGCGTTTTCACCCTCGCTCTCTCATTGGCAGCTCAAATTCGATTCAAGTTTCTTAAAAAGCAAAAATTCATTCCGTTGCCGGGAATCGAACCCGGGCCTTATGGGTGAGAGCCATAAATCCTAACCACTAGACCACAACGGAAGGTGATAGAGGGTGAGAGGAAAGGGGATTTCACCCTCGCTCTGCCATTAACAGCTGCCAATCAAATTTGATTTAAGTTCCTTAAAAAGCAAAAATTCATTCCGTTGCCGGGAATCGAACCCGGGCCTTATGGGTGAGAGCCATAAATCCTAACCACTAGACCACAACGGAAGGTGATAGAGGGTGAGAGGAAAGGGGATTTCACCCTCGCTCTGCCATTAACAGCTGTCAATCAAACTCGATTCAAATTTCGATAAAGAGTTGAAATTGAAGTGTGCAATTATAATTTTCAATATCAAAACCAAAACTTATTCCGTTGCCGGGAATCGAACCCGGGCCTTATGGGTGAGAGCCATAAATCCTAACCACTAGACCACAACGGACATGTTGTCGGGTTTCGAGAAAGGCAATACATAGCAAAGTTCAAGTAATTGATAGTTTGATAAGGATTAAGCTGTCAAAACGATGAGGAGAGGTAAAAGTCAAAGAAATGTATTAGAGAACTGATAAAATTGTTTTCAAGAGTTCCATTTGAATCTCGTTTGATCGTTTAATCGAATTTAATCGAATTTAATCGAGTATAATCGAGTTTAAACTCGCTTAACGTCAATTTACAGGTGATGGAGCACGGAATTCGAGAAAATAACCTCTATCCAACTACTCCATTTCATCCTTGGTCGTTCATAGGTTTAAGAAAAACTTGTGAAATCTTTTAAGTGAGAAAAATTTCAGAAGACATTGCCTACTATTCAGTTCAAAAGCATTACAATGCAGTGTACTCTCGTTTGACGCTTTGTAGCACTTTTCGACTGGATCAAGATGGAAAAGTGAGTTGAAATTTTGAAATGATAGAATTGATAGCATTGATTGATTGATTTTAACGTTTTAGAATTGATTTTGTATACAAATTTTGCTTTACTTATAGCTTTAAATTCAATTTTCAGCTTTTATCTCCCGAAGAACTACTATTTCGATCGGTTCAAGAGGTTAATGACACTCATAATGCTGTAAATGCTCATCAAGATGTAAAGCTTCGGTAAAAGTAAAGCCAATTAATGAAAGAATCAATTTCTAGATCATTACTCGTTATGGGAGTGAACGAACAATGTCTACATCTTTGGTTTGAACTCCTTTGTGGTAGTGTGAAACAGGAGGAAATTCGAAAGAAGTTTTATCACTCTTGGGCTTTCATTAGGACACCGGCTTGGAGACAAGTAAATTGGAATTTTATCTGATTAAAGAAAAGAAGTTTAGATCAAATGCGATTTACGACTTTTATCCCAATTCGCTTTCAAATTATCGCCATTGTTCGAGATTGATGGCTTTGAGACGAAAAAGAAAAAGACTGGAGCCGGTGTTTTGAGCAGTACGAAGAAAAAGGTTAGTCAAGTGATTTTACAGCTAACATTAACCCTTGGAAAACCAGTTTAACATAGCGTTTGTTTATCGTAGCGTTGATCATTAAAGTTTATCATAGCTAAGTTCTGAAGTATATCAATCAATAATTTCTTTGAGCACTTTGTTACCAAATCAAAGCCAATGTTCTAAACCAAATCTAACAGTAAATTTGAAATTCTAGGTCAAGACCAATTGATAGTAATTGGCTTTGGCATGACAGTAGTCATGATTTTTGGGTTTTTGGAGCCCTGATAATCAGGAATGAGTACTTCCTGCAGTTCTAACAACAAGATTGACTTTATCTACTAATTCAGATGTTCAAAAGATGTATTCTCAGCTTCAATATCCAAGTTGGGTAGTATGAAATGGCGCTGACTTTCAAAAATTTTTCTAAAACGCATAAAAGCTTCATATATCTACCTATCCTCTCTCAATTTTGTGCTTTTTATAGCACGATAATTGAGTTTAGAATATCTCCTCTTCATCAATTATTCTCTTTAAAACTTGGATAGCTTTTTGAAAGCCGTTTTCAATCTATAAACCTGTTTATCTATTAGGTTGGGGAGTGAAATGAGGTCGAATTTCAAAAGTCTTTCTGAAACGCATAAAAGCTTCATATAATTTATTGTTTGTATAATCAAAGAGGTCTATCGTTGCTCTATAAAATGGCTTTTAAAAGATTTCGAAAAGCTTTTGATTTGTGGATTATATGGGCTCCTAAACGCAGCCAAAATGATAAAGAGTTTGATACATTGTTTAACTCGTTCCTTACACATAAACTTAACTTGCTATCAAAACAAAAAAGTTAGAGCACCTTTTATTACATAAGTAGCTAAATTTTTGTAATGATCTCGTCAATCATTTTCTCTAAAGGACTATTTATAGATTTTCTGAAAAAATGATTATTTATTGTATTGGGACGCTTTTTAAGTTCAATTTCAAATCTGATTTTGTAGAGAAATAAGTGACCTTTCCAATGATACTATTCGCGTGTTATTTGATAAAGAATACTCAATGTTATTAAAGTTTCTTTGAAAGTCGGCTCCAATAGAAAGCACTCCATCAAAGTTTCCATCAAAATTGAGCTCAGTTCTCGAACATCGATCGATCATTTATTGTCTATCATCAAAGGATAAACAATTTCATAATCTACCTCTTTTCTCCTTTCTAATGATACTACCTACCATAAATACTGTAATAGTACCCCACCGCCCTCGTACAGTCGCGTAGTCGCAAAAGTTTTTTAGTATTTCATTTTTTTCAAAGCGCCCGTACTTTCAAAAAATGCGTCTTTAGTATCAAAAAATAGCCCTGAATTTCAGCTATTTTTTGATAACTAAGCACGCATTGTAGCATAAACCAGTGTCGAGAAAAACTCGTTCAAAGCTAGACTACGCAACGCTCCGGACCGTCATTATGGGGGTGGAGTACTATTACAGTATTTACGGTAATGTCATTTGATAAAGAATACTTAATTATGGAAGTTTCTTTAAAAGTTGGTTATATTTCAAACTCGCCAATCCAATACACTCAAATCCAATACATAAAAATAAACCAATTTCCAGATCATGAACTCTGTCACATCACCAAGCGAGAAAAAAGTGTTTGGCGAGGAACCGTTAAGGGAAGGAGTCAGGGATATGCTCATCAAACATCATCTATTTAGCTGGGATTTGTAAAACTTATCGATTGTTCTGTGGATAACTAGAATTTCCTTTATTGATCTGAAAGAGACTGAAAGCTTTACACTAAAATGGTTCTGTCTGTGATATTTCTTCTGTTTTCAATTATCTGCACAAATTCGCCAAATAAAGAATTGCTAAAAATTGATAATTTGCACTATTTCAACTTAAAAACTAGCTTAAAAATCGAATTTTTCATTGTTCTCGAGTCTCCGATCCAATATTTTCCACTCTTTATTTGATTAGTTGGTAAAACATTCATTTCAAAAAGAAACCACAAAAAGAGATTCATCGAAAATCGATTTTGAATGAAAGTTTGAAACTTTTCTTTCAAATATTAATGTTTATTAGAATCTCTGTGCTATTAATTCTCTATTTTTCGTTGATAAATTGTGCAAAAAAGAAACAATACGATCATCGAGAGGTTTCTTTTGATTTTTCAACATTTTGCTAACGTTTATTCTTTCAATAATAAAGTATTGCTTACAAAATGATTGTTTGAAGTCTTAAGAGTTACATGAATACTGTAATAGTACCCCACCCCCTGGCCTCATCAGACTCCGACCTAGCCCAAGTCTGGAGGCCATTGTCTGGTCAGACAGGCGCCAGTTCTGGTTGGCCAAGTTTGGCCTGACGAAGGCTAGAAAAAGAGAGTTGGCATTACCTTATCTACTCGATATAAGACCGTCCGAATAGAAGACGGAACTAGGGAGAGATGGAAAAAGAGACGGCTTCATTTTTCGGAACGTAATGACCGGTCTAGCACGCCTGGCAAGGTCTGTCTGGCAGATCTCTAGATTTTCTCGAGCTGACAGCCTGAAGGTTCTGGTCTGGTTCTGGTCTGGTTCTGGTCTGGTCTAACCCAGGTCTGGCCTCATCAGACTCTGGTCCGACCTAGCCCAAGTCTGGAGACCTTTGTCTGGTCTAGATCAGGCTGACCTAGTTCTGGTTTGGCTCAAGTTTGGCCTGACTGAATGGCTTAGAGTTTGGCCTTTTTCCTTACCGTAAATACTGTAATAGTACCCCACCCCCCTCGTACAGTCGCGTAGTCGCAAAAGTTTTTTAGTATTTCATTTTTTTCAAAGCACCCGTACTTTCAAAAAATGTGTCTTTGGTATCAAAAAATAGCCCTGAATTTCAGCTATTTTTTGATACCTAAGCGCACATTGTAGCATAAACCAGTGTCGAGAAAAACTCGTTCAAAGCTAGACTACGCAACACTCCGCACCGTCATTATGGGGGTGGAGTACTATTACAGTATTTACGGTACGTGAATCATAAGAAATCACAGCTCTTTCAGGTTTTTGGTGAAAATTGTGTGGAGAACAGTCACCGACCGCTGCTGAAAGCCTATCGAGAATGGGTGAGTGGGAATGAATTCAGAGACTTATTGATTCCAAAAATTGATTGATTTTGATGAAATGGGTTGTGATTTGGCCAGAATCTAGATGCATATCTGAATGCTAAGAATTTCACGAGTTGGGCTAGACAGACTTTGTGGGCTAGGCAAGGCTAGACAAGGCCAGACTAAAGATTAGAGGCCGGATCAGTCTTTGACCTTGCCTGGCCTAGCAGTTGATTTAGTTGAACTGTACTTGAGTTTTTGACAATGGTAATTCGTTTTTACCCTTCTCCACTTTTATCGCAGTATTCCCTGAATCTCTAAACATAACAGGGATGCCTATTTTGCGCTAAATCTTTTACTCAGCTAGATCTTTTGCGCAACTCACCATAACTTTCTTCTAAGTGATTGAATCTTTATAATTTGACGTCAATTTGACGTCAATGACGTCATTTTGTTGCACTTGTCGAGATCTACAAAATGAGATTAAAATCATAAAGATTGACTCATTTAGAAGAAAGTTATGGCAAGTTTCGTAAAAAATTGAGCGCAAAGTAGGCAGATAAAAAGCTAGGCAGTGATGAGACAATAAATCTATATTCTTAGCTATTTTTCTCAATTTTAGGTGGGTGAATTTCAAAAATATGGCTGGCATCCGTACTACGTTCACGGAAACGCTCTCAACTATGCGAAAGCGCAAACGGGAATCACACCACCGGAATGCTTTCAATTGTCCAATGTTGATGGAAATGAAGTGTCAGAATAAATTTATTTAAAAGAAAAGCAAAAAAATCATTCAAATGCTTCTTTGATCCGTTGCCTAAAGTTTTCTATTTAAGGAAAAACTTCTTTAGCAAACCAATTCTGATGGTTGATTGTGTATCGATACTGCGGTGGGGGCATTCCATTAAAGCCTGAATGGAGACAAGAAGTGTACGCTCCTCTTTCATCATACAACATCCATTCACCCGACTCCATCAGTGGTTTCTTTACATTATCCTGAAATCGTTGAAAGTGGATAAGAAGTACCGAATTTATTAGAAGAAGAGTATCGAAGAAGAGTCCCCCTTAGACGAAATTTTTCATTTTTTCGGATTTTTCTACTCACGGATAGCAAAATGCGGGAGTGGGACAAATGCTACCTTTTTTTGCGCACCCGGACATTTGCGCACCTTTTTTTCCGCACCTTGCCCATTAGCGCACCTTTTTTCGCGCTTTAAAAAGCTCTAAAAGCTAATATTAACCAATTTCTATTCCAAAAGTTGTTTTTCTAGGTAATTTTAGGGCGTAGAATCGAAATTTTGGCATATCAGAGCTTGTGGAAGCGAACGGACGGAGTTATACAAAGAGAAAAATCAACAATTTTCTGTAATTTGACCTAGCCGTTTTGTCTTTCAAATTGGTTCCACACGCTCTGTTATGCCAAAATTTCGATTCTACGCCCTAAAATTACCTAGAAAAACAACTTTTGGAATAGAAATTGGTTAATATTAGCTTTTAGAGCTTTTTAAAACGCGAAAAAAGGTGCGCCAATGGGCTAAGTGCGGAAAAAAAGGTGCGCAAATGTCCGGGTGCGCAAAAAAAAAGGTCGCATTTGTCCCACTCTCCAAAATGCTCAACTTTTTAAAGACTTCTAAAGGATTTAAATAATAGTTATAGACTAAGAAGCTTAATGATGTTGGAAGGCGGATGAAAATCCAACAAAAACACCCATTTTTGAGGATTGTGGGACCTTTTATACGCGTCCCGCCCCCTTTGCCATTGCCATCCAACTTTGTGCTCAAATATCTTGGTGTTGGGCCGGCCAATTTAAAGATTCTTGGTATCATTGGATATCCCTAGTCTTTCTCTGTCGATTCGTATAAAAACTATTTAAATTGGACGGCTCAACACCAAGATATTTGGGCTCAAAGTTGGATTGCCAATGGCAAAGGGACCGTTTATACGCACCCCTCCCCTTTGCCATTGGCAATCCAACTTTGAGCTCAAATATCTTGGTGTTGAGCTGTCCAATTTGAATAGTTTTTGTATCAATCGACAAAGAAAGACTTGGCACATCCAATGATCCCAAGAATCCTTAAATTGAACAGCCCAACCCCAAGATATTGGCATTCTTAACAAGAATTTTTAAAAGACATTGAAAAATAGAAGACCCGGCTCTTCTATTAGAAGTTTTTCGATACACGGACTCACAAGAGCCATCTCTCACCTCAACAAGATCCAACGTCGAGCAAGTCGGACCCCAAACAGTGCACAAAGCCTCTTTAGCTTCAGGGTTTTTCTGAAATCTTTTTACTCTTTAAAACTTTTAAAGCTTTACCTTTAATGGCCTTCCATGGGATCTCTCTGACTCAGTGAGATTCGTTTGAAAAGTCCCATAGATTCCATCGTTTATATAGTACATAACAGCCGTTTTTTCAGTGTCTTTCTCTTAAGCATTTTTGATTGCCGCAATGTACAAGTGTTGAAAAGTTACCTTCCTTATCGATTAAATAGGCGGGCACTTCTCGGACGTGAAAGATTTTACACATTAGTGTGATGGGTGACTCGGCAAAGTATCTAAAGTTAGAAATGTTTAGGTGCAAAGCTAAAAGTAAGCATGTATTTCACCTTCCCGGCTCAGCAATTACTCTCACATTGAATCCAGTGAAATGCCTCTCCAGAGATCGATTGATCGTGTGAGCGAGCTGAAAGAAAGTTGGATAGTAATAGAAAGCTTGATTTCAAACTCGAACCAACCTCTCTAAACCCAGATTCCTGATGTTTCCCACCCCAAAATCCTCCTCCAATATCCAAAATTTCCATTTGATGTCCTAACTCGATCCCGATCTCGAAAAGTCTTCTCGCATTTTCAATCGCTTTATCGAATGTGGTGAAATCCCGACAACCAGAACCAACATGGAAACTAGATTTCAAGGTTAGTTTAGTCTTTTATCTTCTTATCAAATCAGCTTCAGCTTCTTCAACTTTATGAGCTTCAGCTTTTTCAAATGATCGAGCAACTTTTAGAGAAGCAGCTTCTTTGGCAGAAAGTGAAAAATCATAATATCTAGAGCTGAAAAATTCAAGAGTTTACCCCAATAAGTCATTTTCAGTTCTTAAACCAGTTGTAAGAATTATACTTTGATCTTTATAATTTCTTGTGAGACCGTGTCTCGGTGTGGTTCAATGGTAGACGTCTTGAAAACGCACAATAGAGAAAAGGAACCAAACGTGTAGAGAAAAGGAACCAAATCTATACCGAAAAGGCACCAAATCTATACCGAAAAGGAACCAAATCTTTATCAAAACTTTCCCTTATTAGGGCAAACTTGGCTGGAGCAACCTGGAGCAACCTGGCACTATCACAATTACTTTAGCACTTGCGTGTGAAAAAATGGATAAATAGAAAAGGGAGCCCGCAACTGACTCAAAACAAAGCTTAAATAATGGGTTTTTAAGTACACAAGCTACGACAAACGGACAACTGAATATCGTCTAGTGGCTGATTACGGTAGTTTATCCATCAGCTTTGAATTTTAACTTGTGTACTGAATTTTGACTAACTGCAGAGCAGTGGCAATTCGCCACACCAGTTCACTTCTTAGAAAGCCAGAACTCAATTCTTTTCCTCAACTCACCAAATCCCGTCCACTCTCAAATGGTGCTCTTTTGCGTGTTTTAGTAAAACGATGGCGCCTTTCTAAAAACACTTTTTGATCACTTAATCACTTTTTGATCATATTCTTACAGATAAAAGCATATGAAGAATATTTTACCTCATCAACTCCATATTTTCTGCCCAACGGTATCCTGGCTGTCGGATCGCATGCATGGATTCGAAGCAATTGTCTAAACTTAAAGAAGATTAATGTCTTTTCGATTTTGAATTGGAAAGTGAACTAAAATTGGTATTGAAATAAGATTGTAACAAGCCACAACAAAAGAATGACTTCTGTGACAACAGAATGACAATGACAGAACTAAATCTTGACAAAGAACAACGTAAAACTTTTTTATTAAACTGTTAAACTGTTCTTAAACTCGCATAGAATGAAAAGTCATTATATCTCGAGTTATTAAGTCATTAAATAAGTCCCAATAAGTCATTTTCAGTTCTTAAACCAGTTCACTTCTTAGCAAGCCTCGTTTTCAACTCAATCCTTTTCCTCACTTTGTATGTGAATGATATTTCTTGATCTTCACCAATTCCTCAATCGAATCAAACGTGGTGAAGTCGATTTTTAGTTTCTCTGCATGTTTCAGAGCCGACTTTGATTTGCTCGGATTCGCATACAAGATATGATGTTGAGAAACATCAAGTGAAATCACCTAAACCCCAAAACAGTTCCTATTTTTTTTCTTCTTTACCGTATCCATTTCCCATTTACTTGCCACATCAAAAGCACCACCAAGAGCTTTCATCGCCGAAAGAAATACAAGGTCTGAGTTGCATTTGACAGCGTAGAAGATCTAAATTGGATTTTAAATATTCTCAATTTTTGTCAATACCTCAACATTTGGTAGTTCTTGCTTCCACAAATCGTACTTTTCGATGAGAACGTTCAGATCAAGTAGCATGATCGGGCCTTCGTTCTGCTGTAACAAGAGAAGAGTATGAACCAAGACTCAAGCAGTTTTTTAACAATTGCACTGGTGTTTTCAAAAGTAAAAAGTGAACCTAGTCGAAAAGTACAGACTCATTTAAGCTGGTAATTAGTTTACAAACAACAACACAACTGCAATGCTAAATTTGCAGCATCGACCTTAATTCACTGGTTTACTTTAAGTTTAAGATCTTTTTCTAAAGGAATATCGTTAAATTGTAGGTACTAAAGATCTGTTTGTTATTTCCAAAAGGTGTGCTTAGGGAAGTTCCAGTTAGAGTACAGTTACGGATTATGGGGCATTTGACAAGTGGCCCGCCCATTTTGCCATTGGCAATCTAACTTTGAGCTCAAATTTCTTGACGTTGGGCTGTCCAATTTGAACATTCTTGGTATCATTAGATGCGCCAGGTCCTTCTCTGTCGATTGATACAAAAATTATTTAAATTGAACACCCCAGCGCCAAGAAATTTGAGCTCAAAGTTAGATTACCAATGGCAAAGGGGCATGGGCACCATGGTGCGTATAAAAGGCCCCTTTACCATTGCCAATCTAACTTTAAGCTCAAATATCTTGGTGTGGGGCCGTTCAATTTAAAGATTCTTGGTATTTAAAGATGTGCCAAGTCTTTCTCTGTCGATTCGTATAAAAACTATTCAAATGGGGGGGCAAAACAAAGAAGAGGGGGGGGAGAGGAGGTGGAAAGCGAAAAAAGAGAGGGGGGTTAAAAAGTTTATAAAAATTTTTAAAAAGCGACACCCCCTTTTATAAAAAAGAAAAAAAAAAAAAAAAAAAAAGCGAAAACAAAAAAACAAAAAATATTGAAATTGGACAGCCCAACACCAAGAAATTTGAGTTCAAAGTTGGATTGCCAATGGCAAATGGGGCGGGGCTTATCAGATGTCCGATAACCAATGGACCACAGTAACTTCAATGTTAGGCGCATCTTTTGGAAAATGCTTTAGCCAAAAACGAGTTAAAAATAAGGATTTTAAACCTACATCTTGATCACAGATATGAGCGATATTCTTCAAAATTTTCTCCCTCGGCTCATCCGTCAATAAAACGATCTCATCAGCGATTTGAATATAGCTTTCATCGTTTAAATCAGCCATTTCAAAAAGGGTACAAATGAAAGAATTTCCAGGAAACAGTCGCCTATTTATAATGCATTTTG